CCAGCTCGCACTGGCTTCGACTGAGGCCGTCCCGACGAGACAATGGCATCCGCGACTCTGGACAATGGCATCCTGGACTGGAAAAAAGCCATGGACTTTGCGGGTGAGGTCAAGTGGTCACTGGCATGTGCATTGGAGATCCCACCGACCAAAAACACTGTCCTGACACTAAGATCAAGCTGGCTGGTCTATTGAGCTTGTTAGTCATGGGTTTGGATTGCACATAAAATTTAGGGGTTTTATCTGGAAAGACTCTTAACCAGCCTTCACTGGGTGTTCATCTTCGCCTACTCCTCTTTGTAAAACATCCAGGATACGTAGCCAATATACGTACTTCCATGTTGCTAACCCCGCATATATGGTGAGATGAACAACAAATCCGCGTGATTCACTCATTTGAATTGCATCCTACCCCTTCAAATCAATTACTGTCATGATAGTATATATATAACATGTGATATGATAATGATGTTATTTCATAGTTAATTCTATTAATCAAACTTTTATATATTTACTATATTAACCTTTACATGCAAAAAGACAGACGCTGCTCAACATGATCTTCATTGACCTTCCCCCAAATCCCATGCTCTTCGCTCTCCTGCGGATGTGCCGTCATCGCCTGGGCGATGAGCTCCAACAAGCCTCCGTGGATCACCGGAGGAATGGCGGGAGATCGGCATCGACTCGTGACTGGGAGGAAGATATACCGAACTTCATCTAAAAAGATTGGAATCCCAATGCTTTTTAAAAGCGAAACGGTGGGTCACTTCCGGTGAAACGGTGAGACGGTCACCCAACGTCTAAACATCATGAATCGACTCATTTACGATGTTTCCTGGATTGGAACGTAGAGTTTCGGAATAGCCCATGAAGAAATTGACATCATGTTGATATCACACCCGTATCTGCGCGTGTTTTGCGCACACCCACATCAGAATTACAAAGGCCCACCCACTGCACCAATTCTTCCAGAGGGGTTTTTGGGTAAAGGCTTCTTGTATCCCCTCCGCCACCCCTAAGGCCCCATGTGTAGGGCCAACACTACTCGTGAAACTCTGGATGCCCAGAGTTAACCTCCAAAGCAAACAAAATGAGTGGCCATCCGATCCTGGAAATGATGCACTCATGGTTTTATGAGTCACTCATGTTCAGGTTTTTTCATCCTGTTTATGAGTGAAAACCCTGAACATGCACTCAAAAAAGCAAGTCAAAGCGCCAACCCTCACCAACCGCCGCCACGTCTGATCTGATGTCTCCCATCATCGGCCGCCTGGCACCTCTTGTCGCGTGGCCATGAGCGTTCGCCCACTGAGGAGCCAATCGCAGTCCTCGGAGTGGCGGTCCGCTGAGGAGCCAATGGGTGTGCGGTTCACATCTTTCGTGGGTCGGGGGACATATACCAAGAACACCCGACCACTCAGAATCAGGGTTACGTGGAGAATGGCTCCGAAAGGAACTCTAGAAATTGGTGGTTTTCCACTTCCATGATGATTCCAGGTGTATAAAACACCCTGTATAATGCCTGAACCAAGTGCTGTGCATCCAGCCAGTTTTGAGTCTTGACTGGTCATTTCAGTTGGGTGTCGAGCGCTTCACAGAAGCAAGGCAACTCCGACTGCAACACACCTGACACATCTTGAAAGTAGCCTAGAGTTGGCAACCCCAACAAATGAGAGCTGCCCAACGTTCAAGGAAAGAACACACCTCTGGACCGGAAGAGAGGAGACTTCGAAAGCAAAGTCGCTGTACAAACTGGCCATGGGCAAGCCAGGGTGAAAATACCAAAGGACTAGTGCTGCAGTCTCACAAAAGGTAGGGCATGTTCTTTTTCACTGGGGCCAACCTCCCGTGTGAAAGGGCACCATGGGTCATGCGATCACCCCTAGCGCACGGCCAGGGGGTCTGCATCACTGCAGTCATGGATCAGCATCACTGCAGTCATGGCTTCGACTACGTATGCAAAGTATGGCAAAGTCATGTCTTTTGCGTGCCCAGAATCTAAGTCATCATCTAGGATATCGATGATGGCACACATGCAGGCATCGACCACCTCCGGCCTCTCCAAATGCTTTTGAAGCTCCTGCAGCGAGGGCTGAGGGCTGCAGCGAGGTGTTCAACCTGACCTGATGGCCAATCAATTGGCTCTGAAAGGGATAGTCGATGGATGAATGGCTCATTCTATGGATAGACCTCGCGGTTTTTGGTGGTTTCATGTAGGTGAAACTAATGATGTGAGAAACTTGGGTGGTTCAGTCAGGTAGATCGTTTCAAGAAGCAGGCATTCTTTCCACCTGCACATGATCTACGAGTTGCCCAAGTGTTGTTCCGTGCACCGAGGTTCCTTGACCTTGGGGGGGAGCGCACTCCGCATGAGAAACTCTTCTTTAGATTCAGTCTGGTGACCCCTTGTACTTGCTACCAATCCGCTGGCCTCAAGAAAGAGGTCAATCTGGCAGCTGCTACTATTCCTCTAATATCCTCACTTCCAGAGCCATACCTCCACACCCCTTTTGGCCTGTTCTTCTCCCCCCGGCCACGACACCGCGAGGCCACTGCTCAACCGCTCCTGGACCACGAAGGGCATCCCTGCCAGCGCGGCCAAGAGCCAAACGCAGTACTTCTCCAAGCGCCGGTCCCCGACGAGCTCCAGGATTCGCTGCTGGCGGATGCTGCCGGTGGACGATGGGCGGGGTGACCGGAGTGGGAGGGGTGCACGAACATCTGTTGGGTTGGAGGATTTGCCACAGGAAGATCAGGAAATGAGCAACTGATTCTGCTCCAGCAACAGCATTGCTCCAAGTCTGGAGGCTTCTGCTCAATGCAATTTCCAGTTCTAGTTTCCAGTTCATTGCGTGTCCAGGAACCCGGCAGGGTCGTTTCTTCAAATCTCGCCCCAGGAAGAAATCATTTTTGGGGAGCGTCCAAAATCACCCAATCTGCCAAAGCAGGGATGGGCTGGATGCGGTTGGTTGGGATGCTGTCATTAAGGCATTGAGGCGCGGAAGCAGGGAAATTGAGGGAAGTGTCGACTCAGACTGCTTGCCCCTCGGGGTTCACCTGGAAGACCTTGAAATGGGAACGCGCAGTTCACATCTCAATGAGGTTCACATCTCCGTCGGTTTGCGTCTTGAGAACTTCGCTTCTGCTTTGATAACTCTCTGAGAAGACTGAGAGCAGTAACACACCACCGAAACTCGAAACTCGCCGGTGCCAACATACCCTACGAGTCCAGTCTGGCCAAGTTCGGTCCGACTGACCTCGGACTGGTTTTCGATGACCGGACTCAGTCAAATGAGGTCCGACGACATAGACCACCGGACGCCGCCGGACGCCCATGTGTTCGACACGTTGCAGGTCGTCCCGTCGCCCGTCCCGTTCCGTTGCTTTGGTCTCCGCCCGTCGCGGGGCACGCGGGCCTGCGTGGCTTCTTTGGCACCGTGTTTCAGCAACGCGTCTCTCCAGGCATCTTTGGCCAGGGTCACCTTTCCTGCGGCCAGAGTGGTATCATCAAATGAATAAGTGACAACATGAGGAAAAGTATGGGGAAAGACATGGCAGTCGTGGGTCTTCGACTGCATCCCCGTTTTCTCGTTTTGGAGGCTTGCAAAGGGTCGCAGGCGATGCGCAGACTTGTGACAAACCTTGAGATGCGCAGAGAGCTGGAGCTGCAAAAGAGCAAAAGAGCTTGTTGAACTGGTCCTCGCCGCCCTCCGAAGAATGTCACACATTGGTAAAAGTGTAAAAATACAATAAAATACAACGTAAATCCAGTGGTGTGGTGGTCTCTGATTTTGACCCTACCTGGCTCAGCGGCTCAGTCTCGCTTAGCCAGGCTGAGTTTCTGTCCATCCCAGTTTGAGTTGAATCCATGGTCCATTGGTAAAGTCATGTGTCAAAATAAAATCCAAAGAGTCATAGAGATATGGCTGTGAGTCCGAAACCTGTAAGTAGGATCCCCCAGATTGGACTTACAACCATGGCATCTGCCACATCAACCCAGCTAACTCTACCAACATCCACCGGAGCAATGCTCCAAAAGTCCATCGTGAAAAGCTTGGAGCGCGGAGCTCGAGCTACGCGGAGGTCGGTCAGGTCGGTTCTACGATGCGGGTCCTAGGGGATCGAAGATCAGCTCCAACTGTTCTCTCCAGGAGTAGCCATGCTGGTCCTGCTTCGCGATAGACATAGCTGAAGCTGATAGATCGCTGTATATATGGAGAGAGGTGAGGCGATTGGAGGTGGTCTCAGTTTGGAGCAGATGCTGACATCAAAGGTGCCTAGGTTTTGAAGCCTGGGGAGTTCCAAAGGGCATAAGTGAGTGTCCAAAAGAATGGTCGATCTTTGGTGAATCTTCTTCCAATGAGAGAAGACATGAGAAGACAGAACGTGTTCCTGCCCTAGAATAGTTGCAAAACGTTGCAATCAGCTTCACCCTAGCGTCACCCTTCACGTTGCATGAGACACACATTAAAGCATCCTGCTGTTCCAGACCAAACCGCTGCTGCTTGAAGACCGCCCCATGATGTGCATTGTTATGCTCTGGACACAGGACGAACAGAACCAAAGAGCCTCTAGGATCAACTAGGGATCAACTAGAACAAGGAGGTTGGTGTCAACTTGGTGCCGCAAGAAGATTTCAGTGATCCCAGATTTCTTCATTAACACCATCCTATAGACACGAGATCCTGTCGATGTCCTTGAGATGATTTGTGCGAGATACTGTACCACATTGTCACATCCCTGGGAATGTTGAAACATCTCTACCTGTCGGCCGTTTCTCCAGTTGGCACAATGCCCAAGTTTGGTGCTTTATATGGATCCCCCAAAGGGATGCTTCATGGACACCCTGAATCACCTCTAAGGGGCTATTCATAGACTTATTAGACACCCCGTTTTGGGGCCTAATAGGGGGCCCAGGTCTATAATATATGGAGCCCCCAAACCTGTTACAGGACGTAACATCTGAGCCATCGAACCTCTGAAACCACCGGGGATCTTCATCGTTCTCGTCTCTTCATCGTCTCCTCCTCGGGGATCTTCATCGGCTCGTGCAGCCGCGAAGCCTTGGAGCGATTCGGCTCGGCTCGGAGCAATTCGGCTTGCCGGCTGGCGGCCTGGAGGGATCTTCCTACGTGCAAAAGAGACCCTACAGTCATCCCCCTTAGGATTCAAGGTGAACCTGGATGGACCATTCTCTGAACAAACAAGGCGTTCACTCTGGAAAATGGCTTCCTTCGTCTACAGTCCTACAGGTCAGTTTGACCGAAAATTCGGACCTGGACCTGGTCACAAAACCGATCTGGGTCAGACTGATCTGATGAGGGAAAGATTCATCTGAGGGAACAAAGAGATGAAAACTGTACAGATCGGGTTTTGTTCCGTGGATTCTTAATGAATCTCTACGGCCTTTTTCCCATTGTTCCTGAAGAGCAAGGAGTAACCTTGCAGGATGAAGTAGCCTGATCTACCCCAGGCTCCAGCAACTTCTGCACTTGGTCGAACGACCATTCGCCAGTTCGCGAAGGATGGGGGAGCGAGTTGGACATACGCGGTCTTTCACAGAACCGTATTATAGGATACCAACCAGCACCATCAAAAGGGTCACCTGGCTGGAAGCCCCAGCCCACTACTAAGGGACCTAAAGCCAGGACACCCCTTTTGTAGAGGTTGCCTGCCTTACGACTAGATCTTGGGGATCTAGTCGTACTACTGAGCTTCTGCCATCCACACTTGAGATATTTCAAGAAAAACACATCCTCATGGCATATTGTAGCCTCTTTATTGTATTTCAACCGCCCATACATAGCATAGGTTCTACAATCTTGCACATCCATGTCTGAGGGTGGATTATATGGTTTTATCGTCTACACTGGAAAACCATGGTTACGTGGATGGCCTGGCCCTGAAGGGATGAGAATCTGGCGCGAATACCTCAAAGTGCAGTTCACCTCCACTCCACTCCAAGGAGTGAACGAATCACCATCCGACTCTCCGGTGGCACCCGACTCTCCGACTCGTGTGAAACCACGCTGTTCGTCTGGGGCGCAATGAGCCGCACCGCCTCGTCCAGCTCGGCGCAGGCGCCCGGCGCCAGGTGAGGCGAAAGGGAGCTACAGCAAGAGCCCAGGGCGTCCAAGAGCGCTAGGTGGATGCAGGAAGTGAAGGGCGTCTTCCTTGGACGTTCAGTTTGGTGGTGTGAGATACGACTCGGGACCCATAGGGACTTTAGAAACTGGGGAAGCCAGAGGGCAAAACCACCCCGGGGGGAATCAGTTTTGGTGAAGAGTTTGACCAGCACCATTGGTCGTGTACGTGGGCAGGCCGCCCGGTCCCTCAGCTCCGGTCGAAGGGTTCCGGGATCCGGACCGGGTGGAATTGGGCGATCAAGTCACCCCACTCGATGGAGGATGGATTCGTTCATCAGATTGGATTTTTCACCCGGTGGCATAAAAGGAACAAACAAACCGAACTGGGGGATCATAGAACCGAACCAGCTAAGACGGACTACATGAAAAGAGCTCGCTGAGACCTGGACTTCTTTCAGGTTAAATCTTGAGACCCAGACCTCGAGTTGGACTGTTGTCTGAAGCCAGATTGACCCATCAGCGGAAGGGGTGCTTTGGTTTCAATTTGCTGAGCCTGTATTCGTGCCTTCCGTTTTTCAGAAGTTCGAAGAGCAGTTCAAGCTTCTTAGCCTAACCATCCCCCAACACCCCCGACAGTTTGTTGTCTTTATTTAGTATTCGATGTTGAGTGGTGATAATTAGTTGGTGCGAGTGCGAGTCCAGTTTCTCCCTCCCGTGCATATCACATCCTGACATAAATCTTTTAAAAACCGCTTTCTCTCTCCGAGGATCTTTTGCAGCTTTAGAAGCTCTCCCACCATCTGCGGCAACAGCCGAATGGCTTCCACATCCTCCCAGCGGTGGTTCTGGACCGTACACCGTGGGGTCTCTGCGAAACCGTTCCTGCTGGGGAGAATGACACTTGCGCCGTAGCTGCTTCCGGGGTGGTGCACCATGGCAGGAGGAGAGTTGGAGTTGGACACCAGTAGAGGTGATTTTTTCGGTGAATTCCTGAAAAACAAAAAGCCACCGCCTGGAAGGACCCCACCATGTGGGTGCGAAGGACCGCTGAGAAAACGTGTCCGGATCTGCAAATGGTGGAACGTGGATGGACAGAGTTGCCCTGTTTCACAGGTGGTGAAGTTGATGAAACGATAACGATTTCACGGAGTTTTGCATTCAATTCAATCCAATGCTACAAGCTGTTACAAGATGTTACAAGCTCTACCTATTCATTGAATGGCATGCTCCGGATGGTCTAAATTTGACACCTAGAGACATGAACAATGCCCCTCTGCTGGTGAAAGGCATACCCTCCAAACTGGCCACCTGGATGAACCCCGTGAGCCCTTTTCAAACAACCTCTCCAAATCAAAAGCGCTATAGGATATAAATATAAGCATTACCCTCTGAGGAATAGCCTACTTCGCCACAAACTGCAACCTGCAAATCCACAAACAGTCTCCAGTTCCGAAACCAGTCTGATCTTTCTTTGTTGTGGTGCTAACAATACCTTCTTGTTCCCGCAAAAGATGGCTGTCAGCAGTCCTCCGTGTTGCAAAGCTCTCGCAAGGCCCGCAACCTGTAGCATGCCGCGTGGTGCTTACGGGTGCTGCTAAAGCCCCCGGGAGGCCTACAACAAACTGCCCCGCTAAAAGAGAAAGACAGCAAGTAGTCTGATAGTCAAACACGTGGACGCCAAATGACAGTGGGTCAAAGCCTCCCACATATGTACAATCATGGAAGGCTGACATGCAGCCCAGTCTTCTGTTCATTGGCTGTAGTCAACCAAGGTCCCCTGGCTTTGACTCACAAGCAAATGGCAAACCCGTTCTCAGTCAGTTCCCCATGAAGAAGAGATTGATGTACGGTTTATGAAAGGAATGAAATCGAACCTAGAACTTGAACCTTCAAAACGGGAACAATCATGAGGGCGCCAACCACATCCTCAGGAGGTAGGTTGACCCACCAACCCCAACCACCTTCGAAAGGTTTCTTCTTTCAGCCAACCTCTTTGCCGGGCACACCCCGTACTGCGGCCCAGCAGCACACCCTGTACTGCGAACTCGCCCAGGCCAGAGAAGAGCTGGATGGCCTGATGGCAGTCCAGAAGCAACCTCAACTGTACTAGACAAGACAATGGTTTTGAGATGTTTTGAGGCTTATTCTTGTTTGAGACATATTCCTGTGTGCAAGAGAAGAACCTGTCTCTTCAAAGGTGGCCCAAAAATGTATACTTATGCTTCTTGAGAAGGCCTTCTGTACAGTATCCTCACCAGCTAGGGATTGTTTGGATATTATATAATTTTTGAACTATACTAGTAGTTCGACATTTATATATAGAGTAAATTGAAAATTGCCCTCGAAGTCCAGTCATGACTCATTTTAGCCCCTGACAAGTGGTGGATCATTAAAACTACCAGGTGGGGCAAGAAGAGACCTTGGAAGCTGTGGCATACTCCGTCAAAATTCCTTTTCCATCACCGCCCACAGGAAACTCCGGCGCAACGAAAAAACACATCTTAAAATCCATCAAGTCCGGCATCCGTGAAACACTCGGCGAACATGTTTTCACATGTTTTCACCACAGTTTTCCAACACCCGGACCCAACAAAACGTCGCATCCGTCGCATCAAACACGCGGATGAAGTCCGCTCCTCTGGAAGGCCCAAGATGAAACCCAGGGTCTGGCCGACCGACACTTCCAGCTCTTGACCTGAACGCCACAGGAAGCGCTGAAGCGTGGTGCCCGGCGCGGGTGGTGCCCGCAAGCAACAAGGCCCAGCATGTTTTGAGCTGGAGTCAGCTGGAGTTCGGGGGCACAAACAGGACTGGTAGACTGGTGGACTGAACCTGGGAGAGCTGGGCTTTTCGGAACAGCCAAAGAAGAGAAGAGTCCATGAGAGTCCCAGTAGAGTCGCTCATCCCAAAGAATCCAGGCAGTGCGCGTGCCCAGTTCTGGGAAGTCCACCTTGTCAGTTCCCACCATTCCGTGGCGGTGTTGATTTCAGAGGTGAGAATCCGAGTCCATCAAGCAGTTTATCCGAGTCCGGCATCAAAGCGGATCTTCAGTGAGAAAACAGATTGAAGCCCAAGCGTCTCTGGGTCATGTGAGTCATGTTATGTCCTGCTCATGCTCATGGAAGCAAAACCTTGTTCTTTTCTTTTTCTGTCCCTCGGGATGCAGTCATACCTTCTCAGAAGGTACGACTGGACCCTCCTGGCACCGGCAAACAACAGTGTCTCCAATCACCTTCTGAGAAGGTACGACTGGATCCCTAGGGCCCTAGGGTGTGTGTGTGTGTGTGCTGCTGTTGCTTTCAGCTCTTCCAAACATCTTCTTCCCACATATTATTCTGCCACTTCTTCTGCCACATATTCACAACTCCAAGATACTCCAAGGGTCGGAGGGCTTCGTGAGGGTTCTCGCTCGTTTGCGGACTTTCAACATACAAGTGTCCATCTCAAGGTATCTTACATAAAATGTGGCTGTCTCAAATGAAGGGGCCTGAAGGGGTGAATCATGCTGGCCCTGCAGCCGTTTTGTGTGTGGGTCAAGTTGTTCACCTGTGGCCATGGTGCGTGGGCCAGTGATGACACTACGGGAGATGCAGGATTACCTGATTGGGCTTCATCCTGACATTGTTGATCCTGATTGAATCATGGCAGAATGTTTGGATCAATTATAGTATTCTCCAAAAATACAGATTTGTTTTCAAATAGGAGTGGAGTTTGGGCCAGAGCCATTCTAATTTCATAGTTATGCAATGACAAAGGCATAGTTTTAAGTATTGTTGCCTGCAATCATTTTGTTGAGCTCAGACTGCTGAGGGCGGTAAACCATTGCAAACACTGACATATGTACTAGTTGCCTTTGACTTGACTTGAGGCCGAAGGGACCGCCACAACTGGCTACATCCAGGTTTGCTCCTGAACTACGTTGAAGTGTTTGGAGGGGTCGGTGTGATCTCAGCTGGCCATGGAGGCTTTTGTTTTGATGTACGAAGGGATAGGCAACACAATATCCATTCTGTGGATGGTATGAAACTGTTGCTGGAGAATTTGTTTTTCCTGAAGCCGCATCAGTTGTGCACCATCGAACCCACATGCAGCAGTTGGTTGCGTTTTGTCTCAGCTGGGACATCGCGCAGATCTGAGGAGCTGTGTAGTGTAATTGTTCATGTGTTGGCAAAGCAGCTTTCTGTTCAATGTTTTTGGGCAAAGAGGTTTCAGTTCATGCAAACTGTACGACAAAAGGAAAACTACTCTGCTTAGTTGGACTCAGAGGTTAGTTGCTGTGGTAGGTTTGTAAGGAGGGACGGGGGCAGGAAAACATTGAGGGCGACACTTCCGTGAAGTTTGTATATCGAGGAAACGCATCAGCAGAAACAGTCGGTGTGCTGATTGATCTTCTGGATTGGCTCTATATTCAATGGTTTATTGAGAACCCAGTGCCTTCGATGTGATATATTTACTGTGTGTTTTGGATGAACTGTGCTGAACCGGTGTTTGTCTAGTGGCTTTTTGGATCTTAACGATGGTGATTCATTCATTCATAAAAAGTATCACTGGATCTGAGCTTCAATTCAAGTCTCTGGACTGCTGAGTTGAACAGCCTCATCTACCTGTACCCACCTATTCGTGATCGAGTGCAAGGAAAGACACGAGTGGTGGTGTACTTGAGGACCTTCGGTGGCCTCCACGCGAAGCCGCTAGAGTTGAGAGGATGCGATTCTTTGAACTACCTCCTTGCAATCCACAGAGGGGCTTGGCATGGTACAAGGGACCGGTACACTATCCCCACTATGAAAAAGGGTGCCAGGCCTGGATGAGAATCCAACATGTTTTGTGTTCCATTTCCTGAGTCATTACCTTCTTTGAAAGCAACTTGTGTTTGTTAAAGTGGGTCCATCACTATCATCACTGGGTTACAGCAGTAATGGTCAATTTTTCCCCACCTGCCAGGTGAGGGTTGTTAGATTTGATCACAGCTGTTCTTCCTCCGCCTCCGCCTCCGCCTCCGCCGCCTCCTCGTCCTCCTCCTTCCTCCTTCCTCCTTGCTTCCTTCCTCGCCAATCTGCTTCGCCGATCTTGTCTGGCCAGCTCCGGATCACAGTGTGCACCCCTGGACCTCAACCGCAAGGATCCCCTCGCAGTGTGCACCCCTGGACCTCAACCGCAAGGATCCGATCGCAGTGTGCATCCCTGGACCTCAACCGCAAGGATCCGATCGCAGTGTGCACGCCTGGACCTCAACCGCAAGGATCCGATCGTAGTGTGCACCGCTGGACCTCAACCGCAAGGATCCGATCGCAGTGTGCACCGCTGGACCTCAACCGCAAGGATCCGATCGCAGTGTGCACCGCTGGACCTCAACCAGATAGTTTGCCAGATAAAATCCACAAACACACAATCACAAACACACGGCCACAAACGCGCAACCACAAACACAAAACCACAAACACAATCACAAACCCACAATCACAAACACAATCACAAACACACAACCACAAACACAACTACAAAGACACAATCACAAACACATAACCACAAACACAAACACACAACCACAACCACACAACCACAAACACACAATCACAAACACAATCACAAACACAATCACAAATACAATCACAAACACAAAACTACAAACACAATCACAAACACACAACTACAAACACAACTACAAAGACACAATCACAAACACACAACCACAAACATACACACAACACACAAACACACACAAACACACAACCACAAACACACAACCACAAACACACAACCACAAACACACAAACACAAACACACAAACACACAACCACAAACACAACCACAAACACAACCACAAACACACAACCACAACCACAAGTACAAACACACAATCACAAAGACACAACCACAACCACAACTACAAACATATAATCACAAAGACACAACCACAACCACAACTACAATAACATAATCACAACCACTACCACTACCACAAACACAACCACAAACACATCCACAAACACACAACCGCAAACACAACTACAAACACACAATCACAAAGACACAACCACAACCACAACCACAACTACAAACACACAATCACAAAGACACAACTGCAACCACAACCACAACTAGAAACACACAATCACAACCACTACCACAACCACAAACACACAACCACAAACACACAACCACAAACACACAACCACAAACACAACCACAAACACACAACACAGCACACAACCACAGCACACAACCCGAGGACCCACAAGCAACATCGAGAACTACAATACTAACGACTATGGCAACATGCTCCTCACTATGGCATCAAGACAAATGATTGAAATGTCATGGTGGGGATCACTCGAAGTAAAGTAAGTTTCCTACAATGTCTATTATAAGATGGTATGACAATGGGAACCTGCGCCTGCATGCAGGTGGGTGAATGGAGACAAAAAACGCATGGCTGAGTCCTCGTGTTACCCAGAACCTCTTGGAGAATGTGTGCGATTTGCGCATCAGTGTTGGCTGGAACCTTGCCTTGTAACAAGTTTCATTTGGCAAGGGATGATCGATTTAGTATATTAAATAGTTGACGACAATGTCTGGCTGGACCTTTTGGTGTTTTGTTCTAAGTCTTTACAAATGAGGACCATGATCGGCAACCCATGCCACCAGCGCAGCATTGGTACAACTTCAGCAGTTTGCACATGAGATGGTCCGTCGTTTGCCTCCTTCTGGTGAGAGTGCTCTTCCGGTGGGGGAGTGTGGAATGTTCAGTGTTGTGGAAGTGTTGCATCGTTTTGAGCTCACACAAATGTAGGAAAAGTAGACAGCAATGGCCGTCTCAATTGCAATTGTACTTGTTTGATTTGGAAGTGGACTGCAGGCCAACCATGGTACTCTTGCTCCATATGATGCTGACCCTGGCTGGTCGAGTGATGATGACAATGATCAGCCTCCTCACCAACCTCCTGTACTTGTTGAGGATCGCAAGGCGAAGGTTGGTGGCCCTGAGGGTTTCCAAAGATGCAATATATATATATATAAATATTGTGGGGTGGATCTGTAGGTTGATAATATTAATATTACTATAGAGGTAATAGCACTGATCAGTGTTGACTCAACTGTCATGAGATGTTTCTTTTTGATTCTGCCGTAGACAAGTTGTCAGTCCTGAAATTTAGTTTCAGGAATTAAGGAATCTAGATGAGGTAGGTTCTTGAGGCGAGTGAATACCTGGACCTGTTCTGTTCACTGCTGGGAGTTCACTGGGCATTGGATCAAATTCATTTCGCATTTTGGAATCAGGTTGCCAAGAGGTCTTCTTCAAGTACCACTGGCTCTTGCACTTCGACTTTGCACGACTTCTTTGCCTCGAGCCAGGTGCGGTGTTATATGGGGTCTTTTAATTAAGCAATATTTGCTTAAAGGCCCACCGTAGATACTGTAGTCTGAATTGCAAAACATTCATGAAGTGCAGAGTGGTTGAATTGCTTTGCCATGGACGGTTGATTATCAGGGTGTTGATAATTAAATTCAAGTGACCATGCTTGACCTGTGATCTTCACATGGGAAGTTGCAGAACCATTAATGTTAATGTTGTGTCATTTGATGCCTGACAGCTCTGCCAGGACCCATCGGCTTCATCGTCTACATCGAGAAGAAGTTCATCGTCGAGTTCAAGCTTTCATTTGCCAGAGGTAGCTCGCCTCAATCTGGGTT